GTAAACCTGCTTTCTTCCTCACTTTTGACAATAAAATCCAGGGTTAAGAAGTCAGGATCATATATGACGTATGTTTCATAAATGAGGCTCAATCTTTCTCTTACTCTACACACACACCTTATTGTAGTATTTGAGTATGTCTGTGGCGGCTCGCAGCTCCAGGACTCCGTATATGATGAGTTTACAGTATCCAGCCAGCTGATTCCTCTTCTGCAGCAAAGCAGCCATCTTCATCTCCTCACACTCTTCCTCACCTGCAGCACAATCCTGCTGAGCTACTTGCATCTGATCAAGATCTGCATTTCACAAGCAATCTTCTTATCAAAAGACTACTGCTTTAGGAGAAAGTTAGAGTAAATGTGTGTGTAAGTGTCTTTCTTTATCCGTGTACCAGCCAGATCCTCGTCAGGCTCGCTGAAGACGTAGTCGATGATGAAGGAAGCCATTTCTGCTTTGAGAGAGTCGTCAGGACTGAAGAGCTGCAGCGGAGAACCGTCTCCTTCACACAGCTTCCCGAAGACGAGCAGCACGTCACACAGACACACAAACGCCTGCGGACACAACAAACACATGACGAGCCTCAATCTCATTCACTGACAACAAATCCAGTCGACAGAAGCTCAGAGACAGCGGCTCCATACTCTAGAGCTGAACAAGCAGTCGCACAGTTTCTTGTGTGTTTTTGTCATCGGCTGGGTTTCACTGTTGGTCAAAGTCCCTGCTGTTGTGTAGTTTGCACAGCGCTGCGGTGAGACTAGAGCAAATGTGGTGTGATGTGAGCGGCAGAGGACTGAGGGCTGTACCTGGTTCCTGATGCGACTCTGAGCCACGGACAGACAGCTCTGACACACCACACAGAACGAGTGAAGAGCCTTCATCACACGCTTCAGCTCCGCCTGACAGACAGACAAACCTGTCTTTAGCAAAATAGTGTGCATGGGAAATCAGTCTTTCATGAATACTAACACTTTCTATTACGTTTCTACTCTATTTTTTTTGTATTTATTAAAAAAGCCCTTTATCAGGGTGTCTACAGATATGAACAAGTTCAATTTAAGACTTTAAGACCTTTTTAATACCACCTTTTGTGAAATTTAAGACCAAGCCTGTGATGGAAATACACATTATATTACATACGTATAGGTAATATTTAACGCATTTAAATGTAAAAAGAAAACAAAATATCATCGCTGTCAAAAATGCTATTTGTTATTACGATATACAGTGAACTTTTCATATCAGCAGAAAATATCCCTTACAAAATATTCCCACAAAACAAATGTCACATCAGCGAGATTTGTGGTGGTGTAAACAATTTATTCTGAAGCATTATTTTCATTAGATTTCCGTCAGCTTTTACATACTTAAATCTGCATGTTTTTAAATTTACCACAGGATGTCATTTACCTTTATAAAGACCAATATTTTTTTTTTTACCTTATTAAATGTATGCGTCATCTTTCAAGTCAAATTCTTACAATTGATCAAGAAATGTAATACACTACAGTGCTGTTACCAATCAAATTAAATAATTACAAAATTACAACAGCAATAACTAATGTTATGGGATTAATGTTGTAAATAAAATTTTGAACATACAAATAAGAAATGTAGGGGAAAATGCATACTTTTAAGCATGAGCTTAAACCGCCAGTAGGTGGCAGTAAGTCACTTATTCATTCAACCGATTCCTTCAAACCTCTGAATCATTCAGTAACAAAAACACCGGGTGCGGCTGGAGAGTGTGCGCAATAATTCTGTTCTGATCTTTGTTTGGAACTATTTTCGTTGGTGAAATAGAACAAAACTGTCAATTAGTCAATTGTGTTAAAAATAGTCAATTGTGTCTAAAAATGTAAGTAACTTCATATACTTTACTACTTGTTTGTTGAACTAAAACCAATGCAACATTTGCAATCTTGAAAATATTCAGCAAAATAGCTCCCTTGTCATGGTATGTTACTTGACGATATCATGCTATGAATATACTAAACATTTAGAATTTGTACCTCCGTATGTTTGTTCTGTGAGTTTCTTTATGTGTGCCTAACCCTAACATTTGATTTGATTTCTCCATGAAAGTCTCACAGAGACAGCACAAGCCTCAACAGCGCGACAGTGATCATAGAAATACACTATCCAAATGCAACATTTGCAATCTTGAAAATATTCAGCAAAATAGCTCCCTTGTCATGGTATGTTACTTGACTATATCATGCTATAAATAAACTAAACATTTAGAATTTGTACCTCCGTATGTTTGTTCTGTGAGTTTCTTTATGTGTGCCGTACGCTCATTTGATTTGATTTCTCCATGAAAGTCTCTCACAGAGACAGGCAGCACAAGCCTCAACAGCGCGACAGTGATCATAGAAATACACTATCCATTATCAATCGATGTTTAAGCTGAATGCAATAAAACCAGAAGAATCATTTGCGCGTTATGATAAGCACAAGCCTCAACAGCGCGACAGTGATCATAGAAATACACTATCCATTATCAATCGCTGTTTAAGCTGAATGCAATAAAACCAGAAGAATCATTTGCGCGTTATGATGCGTGATTATATTTTGTCACTTAAGTTTTAATCAGGCTATTAGTCCTGTCGGGCAAGTACAATTCTCAAGCCATTTTTCAGTAATCTTGCATGAACCCATTTAAAGTAGTTGAGCTGGTGCTCGACTGTATTCTGTAACGCAGTAACAACAGCGGGGGGGAAAGTACTCTTGATGGACACTCACTGGGTCCGTTAGACTGGAGACATATTTGTGGTAATGTGACCAAAAATATTTAAGACCTACTGAATCTGAATTTAAGACATTTTAAGATTTTAAGGACCCGCAGCCACCCTGTTTATGTGTACTGGGTTAGACTGACTGGGACCAACATATTGTAGCCCTTTTATTGGTTTAATTGCTTCTATTGTTCTCCTCATTTGTGAGTCACTCTGGATAAAAGCTAAATGATGAAATGTAAATGCGTTTAAGATTGATAATATTACGGCAGTCGCCGAACTTACTCTCTCAAATCTCTTGGTGTGCAGAGCATCCGCAGCTTATATGGACTTAAACGAAGGTGTTGTTATCGAAATATTATATATTACCTTAAAAGAGACCAATAAAATTGTCTCTTCATTATTGTTTAAAATATTATTGGAATATAAAAAAGTTAAATTATTATTTCATGTATCATAAGCATTTCATAGATTTCTTTGTTTAAAAAAGTAATAATAGAAGCTGCAAGCAGCGTTGAAAGGGCCCTCGCACCCGGAGACACCTCCACCCGGCGGCCTCAGGAAAACAATGAACGTTGGGCAATAAACAGTATATGGAATATGTCAACGTCATTTATATGTGCCAAACTTCCTGCTGCCAGCAGGTGGCGCTATGATTATAACAGAATACTGGCATGTAGATGTGTTCAGGCCAGGACTCCCATCAAACCTGTGAAGTTTAGGGCAGATCGGGCATTGTATGGCTTAGTTACAGCAACTGCCTGTTTCATGGCGAAACATCACACGCCCTTCAAACGAAAACTCAAGATCTTCACAAATTAACATCGCAAAGGGCTTTAGATTACACTGACCAAATTTGGTGTTGATCTGATTAAATCTCTAGGAGGAGTTTAAAATACAATGCCTGAATATGGCAAAAACTACACAAAATTTACTGAGACTTCCTGTTGGGTTTCAGATTTTGCTCCAAGAGACTTTTTTGTAGGTATTGGTGTGTTACATGTGTCTACAGAATTTCATACATGTACGTGAAACTGCTCGAGGGGTACGTCGCTGAAAGTGTATAGGTGGCGCTATCGAGCCATTTTGCCACACCCTCTTCTGAAACCCATATCAGACGTACATTTTCACCACTTCTGGCGTATGTGCAAAGTTTCATGAGTTTGAGCATGTTTAGGCCCTCAAAAAAGCGATTCTTTTTAGAAGAATAATAATAAACGAGCGTTTGCAATAGGGTCTTTGCACCGCAGTGCTCGGGACCTAATGATAAAAAACATATAAAACTATTTTGTGAATGCACTACTAATGAACTGTTCCTATACATTTAGTATTCAAACTGATGGAAACTGAAATGATCAGACCTAACAGATTGCTTATCCTACGGGTCCCTCCAGTGGACAGTGTTAGAATCGCAGCCTTGATCCATCAGTTGAAATTTTTATCAGCATACATACAGAACACTCACAGAAAGCGATTTATATATAGCTAAGCTCAACTGATCGTCACAAAATGTAACTATATTTTCATCCAGCACTAATCTGATAAATGCAACTATAAGGCATGAATATATTACAAATATCAACGTGATTTTCTGAAAAGAATTGAAATAATGAGTATTGTGAAAAGCACTGAACAAAAGTGACTTGGTTGATTTGGGCCCGAACAAGCAAAACTGTTGGAAAGGTTATCAGACAGACTTAGAGCACCTTCAGATCCATCAGTGTGACAGTAAAGCAGCGTTCACACACACCCCACAGTCTCAAATTCATGTTTCCTGTGATTTGACAGGAAGTCATTGTACCCAGTCTGATTGAAGATTCAGCCACATTCGAACAAACACAAGGAGAACGAACAGAGACACAGAGATGAAGATGACGCACCTTGTCTCTTGCTGGAGAGTGTTGCTTGATCTTCGTTCCTTTCCAGAACAGATGAAAGACTGAACACTTAAGAGCTGGAACCATCAGCTACACACACACACACACACACACACACACACACAATGACATTATAATGAGTGCGAGTGTAAGAGAATGCACAACAGTGTTTTCATGTAATTAGCATGAACATATAATGCTAGATTAGCCTAAGGTCAAGAACTTTCTATGGAGGTGTGGATGAGATATGAATGTAAACATCACAATAATCACACACAGATCTCTGATGATTTACTGTTATTATTAAGGATCTCTCATAAACAATGATCAGGTAAATCTGTGACGGTAAGGGAATAGAAAATACAGTTTGTACAGTTTAAAAACCATTACACCTATGGAGAGTCTCTATAAGATATGGAAACCAGTGTGTGTGTGTGTGTGTGAGAGAGACCTTCTCGTTGATTTCTCTCGTCTCTATTCCCATCTTCAGCAGCTGAAAGCAGAACTCAAACAGGTTCCTTCCGGTCAAATCTCTGGCACTGACACACAAAAACACACTGTAGAGACCCTTCAGTACTATCTACCATAATCACACAAAACACACACACACACACACCTGCTGAAGATGGCTAGAATGTTCAGAGAGGAAGCAGCTCCATACAAATCATCTTCATCAGCCGATCCCTGAAGAACACACACACACACACACACACAGCTCAGCTATAGTTTTTGTCTCAAGAAGCAAGCAAAATCTGACAAAACCGCCTTTTGGGGAAATTCAGTTACAGAAAAACAAATCATAAATTCATTAGAGCTGAAGTGTGTAATTTTCTGTCAGATCTGCTTTGAACTGGTGCATTGGCCGAGGCAGTGTTGTTGTGTAGGACTAGTGTTGAGAGTGCAGGCGCTTGCCGTCTGTGATGCTGCTTCAGACTCAGGTGTGTTTGTGTACCTGCAGTATCTCAGCCAGGTTTGAGCTGAATTTCTCCACGGTTGAATCCAGCAGCTGACTGACGGCTCTCTCGGCTCGACCACAGAAGCTGTAGCAATCACTGCACAAGGCACACAACACACGCACACAAGCCTCTAACACACACTCCTCGCGGTGCTTCAGCATGATGTCACACACCTGAGACAGCAGCAGGTCCAGACTCTGAGAGACCACAGAGAGACAGACGCTCACTTCAGCTCACCAAACTCTCGTTTCACTTCATCTGTCCCTTCTTTATGTATTTGAAACAATTTTATTATGCATCAAACACACAATAAATGTGTGTTTTTTTTAATGTGTGTAAATGGTCATTATTCTGTGCGTACCATTATTATGAGCTCATTAATTGAGAATACACCAAACATTTGTACTTTTGTTTAGTTTTTTACAATTATTGTCTTATCTCAGGAACTTCAAAAAAGCCAAAAGATTATATAAAATGGAGAAGGACACCAAATAGTGACCAGTACAATATAGTTTCATTTACGAATTTGCACATGAAACCTGAAGCAGAAAAAAACATTTTCAGCCTTAAAAAAAACTTCATATTTCAAGAACCCAAACATACATATTCAGACGCAAATAATGAGTGACAGTTCATGCATCATTTGATACACAAGAGATTTACATGTATGAATAAATGTGAATATGATGTGATTGATCAGACGGCTCGTACTTTCTCCAGGCGTCCTGATGTGCCGTAAACCTCCAGCTGGAAATACAGCGGCGCTCGGAGCAAACAGCTCACCTTCCCAACGTCTGCCGAGAACTGAGAGCAAACACAGGCTTCACTGACATCTTCAGATATCTTCACATCACAACTCTAGTCTGGCTCTCTCATCGACTCACCTTAGCCAGTAACTGAGGCAGCACGGGGATGAAATGGTTTGTGATGCGTCTTCGCTCTTGAGCCTGAAGCCTCTTCTCCCGCGCCGTCAGGTTCTACAACACACACACACACACACACAGTTCTGTGTTAGTCAGGACAATAACTGAGCGCAGGAGTGAGATGTGCTAAACTGATTTCAACTGATTAATGTGTTACTATTATCATTTTAGAGCTGCTTTACAGCAGAACTGAATCCTGTTTGCCTCATTCAATCATAATTTTCCTGTTTATCACTGTAAAGCTGCTTTGAAACAATCTGAATTGTTTAAAGTGCTATGTAAATAAAGGTGTTTTGACTTGACGTGCTAAAGCTGGAGCCGATCTGGAGCGAGAGATAAAGCTTTGAGCGTGAATCTCTGCCACTCTCTGTCTGCTGCCAATTGTGTAATTCCTGATGATATTTGCAGAAACATAAGTTACATTAATTTAGGGCTGCAATAAACAATCAACAATGAATTAGATTATCGATTAATTGTGTCAGCAAGCTTTGAACAGAAATCCTCCACCAGTCACGGGACTTTACAGCAGTGAATAACACATTCCTATGGAGAAAACCCATCTGAAAATAGTGTAAGACAGTGAGCAGCTGCAGGAAACACTGCCAGATCCAAGGTCTCCTAAACAAGAGAATCTCAACCTTTCGGCGTACCGGACCCCAGTCCAGTTCAGAACCATCCTCAAGCACCCCCAGAACAAACTCGTATCATTTGTGTCTTTGTGAGGACCAAATGCAGTCAAGTATAATTAAAGTTAGCTGACTTGTCCAGTATTTGGCCATATCATCAGCTATATTGGATTTTTCTTTCATGGGAACATGTAATGTCAAAATATACAAAATGTATACAAAAATTCATACTTTATACGGACCCCTGGCCTTATGTCAAGGTTGAGAAACACTGTCCTAAACAAAGAGAATTCATCATATTAAGTGCTTCAAACAAACGCATAAGCATACTGATGTGTCGTAAGAGCTCTGGCAGAAGCGTGTTTTTAACGTGTCTGAGGTGCGTTTTCCTCAGCACATAACTTACCTTTTATGGTTAGATTCTTATCTGTAAATTTTGCAGATTCATGCTCGTATTTCCATTTTGCATAAAAGCTCATCCCGACAACAATCGATAATCTCCGCTAAACTTCACAGAACAGAGCGCACTATAGCATGATTAATGCTGAGCGCAAAAATATTCATTATGCAGAAATATTTGCTGTTGGACATTTTAAATTCTATTTTGTAAGAGTAATAACTGACTGTAAAGGGATAACATCATATAACTGGATATAAATGTTTCTACAGAGTTTCCTCTTATCTGAGAACACTGAGCTTGTGCTTTATCATTCCTATGATTTTTAAGCAAGCAATTAGGCTGAGCGCAAAAATATTCATTATGCAGAAATATTTGCTGTTGGACATTTTAAATTCTATTTTGTAAGAGTAATAACTGACTGTAAAGGGATAACATCATATAACTGGATATAAATGTTTCTACAGAGTTTCCTCTTATCTGAGAACACTGAGCTTGTGCTTTATCATTCCTATGATTTTTAAGCAAGCAATTAGTGGTCGACCGATATATCGGCCAATATTTGGCATTTTTTAAATATCGGCATCGGCTGAGAAGTTTTCCTGTTTGGCCGATGTGTTTGAGGCGGGACTTCTATTTTGAGCAGCACACACTGCTCTCATTCTCCCTCTTGTTCGCCGTCGTTGTTAACAGTTCTGTCTAATACGGATAGAAGTCTGTCTAATAATCAGATAGAACGGTTAAACAAAAGGAATTAAAATGTATACAAAAATTATTATAACGATTACTTTTATATTAGCAATAGAAAGGCAAACATTATAATACTTTCTCGTTTGCCGTCAGCATTCAGCAAATACGCATTTATATCATTTAAACAAATCTTTGAATGACTAATGAACATTTAATTTCACAAACCTTGCAGACTTAGTCGAATCTAGTTCGGTTGACGGTCGGTCCGTGTGAATTGAATGCTTTAAACATTAAATTCGTGATTTCAGATTATGCTGCGCTTTATGCGTCTGCCCGCTGTCATATTCATGTCATTTCCACTGTGTGCTGTGTGTACAATGAGTGTTAACTTGGCTTTATTTGAAAAAATATGATTCCCAATGCACACAAACTTCCCAGAATACTGAGTGCTCTGTTGGTTACAGTTTACTTTTAATTATATTTTTATTAAATATTTATTTATTTGTGAAAAATACATTGTCATCTAAAGTATAAGTATGTTTATTTTATAAATTTATTTTTTAATCCATTTTCAAATGATTTCAAATTTCTTAAATATTCATTAAAATAAATATGTACATTTATATCGGCCACCCTGCTTTCCAAGATATCGGTCGACCACTACAAGCAATTTAAACTTTCCTTCTGCTTTTAAAGGACAACCCATATTTTCTATAGACACATTTACTATATTTGTTTTCCTCGCCCCGAGCTTACACACTTGTTTAGAGGACAGCATTGGACAGGATATGGAATAACAACCAATAAAACAATAAATATGAATCTGTCTTTCTAACCAATTAGTCATTTAATCTAAGTTGCAGCCCTATATTAATGTCCTGTTGTGGGAAAAAAAGCAAGCTCACACTCATAATCCAGTGCTGAATAAAGCAGTCAGGCTAAGATTCAGAACAACTGATTGTGTCACCTTCCTCTGCACTCGAGAGCTGGGAGGCATGGCCTCAGAAGCCTGTCTCACTGCACACATCATGATGTCAATCAGAGCGCTCTCCAGCTCGTCCTCCACACCTACAACACACACACACACACACACACACACCTGCGTTTGCATAAAGTACTCAGAAAATCACAAGACTGATCGGACTACACACACACACACACACACACAACACGTGACGCTCGTGATGGTTTGTGTGGAGGTGACGATGATGATGTCACGATGAAGCTGAACATACATGTGGTACAGGAATCGTCCGGCTGCGCAGGCGAGACCTCGGTGTGTGGCAAAAACCAGTGGATACACAGCAGCACACTCCTCCTCACTCAGGCCTTCCTCTGTCTGCCTGCGCACACACACACACACACACACAGACCGAGACACATACACACACACACACACGTCAATACAAGAAACTCGGGTGACGCATAACTTCGTTCACATGCACACAAGTGGTTTTCACCCTCAAAGCAGTTAGACATCATTTTGTCTTAAAGTGCCCCTATTATGCCTTTTCGAATATTACCTTTCATGCAGTGTGTCATGTATGTGAACATAAACTATCTGCAAAGTTGTGAAGCCGACAGTGCTCGATAAATAAAGTTATTGTCTATCAAAATCAGTCGGCTGCAATCACCTAAACGAGTAGTCAGTAATTAGAATCTTCTGTTACGGCTGTACATCACGAAGTAACACATTTGTATAATGTCTGCCCATGTTCTACGTCGCCAACTTGCCCACAAACACAGTATAATTTCCATGTGGTTAACATCATGTCGAGAAGACGCTGTATCCTACGCTCTGAGAGTAACTATGTTTTATCAAATCTTATCATTTCCACAAACTTGTTAACACTTGACACACACCACTGAGAAACGCCCTGCTCCAGTCGTGCTTGTGAATCAGTCTCTTCAACCATTTCATCATCAGACTCCGGCTCGAATTGGTAAGGTACAATCGATACCATCTTTTCTATGCATTGACAAGTGTCCAGGGTTAGGGTTAGGAATTGAAAATCGATTCCGATTCCAGAATCGGATACTTGTGGTCAAATTAAAATATCGATTCCTATGTGCTTTTTTTTCCTTCATCTGTGAGGACTAGAGCTAGCGATCTGTCAGGACCTCGCTCGCTAATCTAAGTGCTCCAAAGTTTGACTACATTTGCGATCAGAAGCCAAAAAAAGCTAAGTATAATATCTGTGATAGCTAAACATGTTGCAAGAGAGCTGTCACCACCAACATAACAAAGCACTTTAATTTAATAGATCATTAAAAATCACAAACATGATTCAAACACCAACGTGATTCTATTCCTAGATTACAATGATTCGTCTGATTCATTCCTCAAGCTTTGACGTGTGCGATCGATGTTGTGATCACGTGGTTCGTCCGTGCAGAGTACGATCTCATCAGTGTGATTTAAACATTTAAATCTGCGTTCACCTCAAGAGAGCAGCTGTCTGTCATGAATGAAACCGCTTCAGTCTGTTCAGCCACACAGTATCATTATTTCTGTGTTACAAACATTCAAAATCACAGAAGTGCTGGGATAAAAGTTTATATTCAGATAAAACTGTGTGTACGATGTGTATGGTAGCGATTAAAATGATCGCGTTTTGCACACAAACAGCTCTTAAAGAGTCCAGTTTTAATGTAGCCTGTTGATTTTTGTTCATGGTATTCAGCTCCAATAAATGGTTTGCAAAAAAGAGACACAGGATAAATGTTTGATTATTTAATCACATTGGAATCGAAAAGAATGGGAATCGGAATTGATAAAATTCAAACGATACCCAACCCTATCCAGGGCTGTCGTTCCGTCATGGCAATGGGCGCTTGGTTGTACGCGGTAGACCAATCACTGCGCCATCTGACCAATCACAGCAGTGAGGGCTCACGGAAAGGAGGGGTTTAGAGAGACTGATTCTTTGAACTGCTTCGCATGAGTCATTTACGAATCATTTAGAAATGAGGTAAAATTAAATCAATTTTTTGAGAAAACTAACGTGTTTTTTGACCTTGCATGCATGTAAACCTGTTTTAGGAGACTCATAAAACAATATTAGCAACCTTAAAAATTGCATAATAGGGGCACTTTAAAAGTGAACACACATCCAAAGCAGCTAACTAATGAAAGGAATCTCACTGTTTAATGAGCAGTAACAGCTTCACCGTTTCCACTGCCACATCAGAGTCTTTATCCAGAATCATGCACAGAATCCGTTCCTGAGCGGAGAAACGCATGTAAACCACTAAACACCAGCAGCTGAAATGTAAATGTAGAATATACCCCAAAAACGATGAATTAACACAATTATATACCACTTCCCGGATGAGCCACTGGCCTGGAGTCAGTATGAGAGCGCTTCACTGATGTGAAACCACTGAAAATCTGACAGTTTGATCTCGTACGTCCATTTTTATGCCTTGTGAGTGGAAATGTTTAGTTTTCTGTAATGTATTCTACAAAGCAAAATCTGCTTTTCCCCCCAAGATTAACGTTAAGCAGCTGCTAGATGATGCTGTCAAACTACATGAATTATGATAGTTTGGGAAGAATCAGTAAGAATGCAACTTCAAACAGTGACGTTTTACATTTACATCATTTTCCAGCTTCCAAAATGACTTTATGGAGCTACATCATAGTGAATAATTTTTACCTTCACTGAAAGACTTTTGTACTTTTTCTATGAGCAAAGAAAACAAATATGGCTGGAAAATGCCTTCAGACCTCCTGAAACAATGATATTACAACAATATTTAGCTGCTGATTGGATATGTATTGCATTTACCATTTATTTAATTATTTTATGTTGATCTTCCGTTAACTTTGCTGCAGAATCTTCAAACATGAGCTCATATGTCAGATGTGTGACACGTGATGCGACTCTCCTGTATGTACAGCATTAGAGTTACTGCAGTAACTAGTCCAGTGCATTCACACATGTGCACAGATCTCTACTGTATGTCATCAGTGTTGCACAAATTCAGTCTCTGTGTTCAAACCCGTCTGTGTGTTTGTGTTCACCTTAAAGCGGCTGGTGAAGAGCTCTAACCGGCTGATGAAATCCTTCTCCACATACAGTTTCTGCAAAGTCAACACACACTGCAGTCGCACAGCAGCTTGCTGAAACACACACACACACACGCACACAGACACACATGGATCTGGATCTGATCATCAGAGCAGCACATACAGGGTTCGATGCTTACTTTTCTTTTTAGGAGCACCTTCTAATCAATAATCCAAAATGTTATCAAAAAGTATAGCCTTCCCATTATGAGGTGATATTTGACTCATCTTTTGTCAAATTCTTAAAAAAAATTTATTTTATCAGCTTTTTAAAAATTGTAATTAAAACGACAGAATAAGAGTAGAATAAGAAAAGTTAAAAATCAAATGAAATCAGTATTAACAAAATTAATTTGTAGAGGTGGCACAGAAGAACACAAAAGTGGCTTGATGTACTTTCAGACATTTAATGAGGTTCAGAAGTGGAATGAGTGCAAGTAAATCCATAAATCCATGATGATATTAATGTTTTAAATATAAAATTTTGAATATAGAAATATTAAATTATTTAAATAACTGTAAAGATACTTTAAAAATGAAACCAAAACTGCCAGCAGGTGGCGGTAAGTCACTGATTTTTATTACTGAATCATTCATTCAATTGATTCATTCGAACGGCTGATTCTTTCAGGAATGAATCAAGTGACTGTCTTTATGAATGGGTAATCATGAATCACTGACTCACTAGATTGTTTAAAAACCCCATTCATTCACAAACGAAACCGCTGTGTTTGAATGGAGATGCACAGTGGCTCTGCTGTGTCTTTGTTTTAAACTATTTTCTACGACGAAATAGAGCAAAATCAGACAATACTGTTATAGTCAGACAATGTAAGTCACTTAATATTAACTTCTTGTTTATTGAATTGTATTGTATTAAATCAGTTATCACATTTACAAACTCCCTTAAAAATCATTAAAAGCTGTCACTCATCTTAGCTCATCTCGATCTCACATTTATAATCAACGAAGCTCTCTACACTGCGTGATGAATCTCTTATTTACACCCCGTCTACACTTTGCTTATGAAAGGATTCGTGAGATATGTCTGTGATACATTACTCAACGCTGCAAAAACACGTAGAATGCTTTGAAGCTCCCCTGAGATAAATCACAAGTATGATGATGATTGGGTCAGTCGCATTGGTGCTCCTAAAAAAAATTTCATAGTCGCATGCAGTAGTTTTCAGTCGCAAATGCGACTGAAATGGTCGCACTGTCGAGCCCTGACATAACGTGTTTTTAAGCTAATCACACCTTGTCGTGCAGCATCCAGCCCACGTATTTGAGGTGCTCATCATTGAGGAAAGAGGCGGGGTTTTCTCTGAGCCACACCCCCATCTCCTCCATGCAGACAGCCCGGATTTCAGGAACTCTGTCCCGATACCGATGAATGAAAACACCCTTAAAGATCCCATTCATTAGAGAGCGCAAGTCCTCCTGATGCTCCCGCAGCTGCCCCACACACACACACACACACACACAACGTTAATTCACATCACATTTATTTCTACAGCACTTTATATGATACAGATTCAAAGCAGCTTCACAGTAATAAACAGCAAAGTAACAATCAATGATGCAAACTTCAAAAATGAGGCAAATTGACAGTCACCATCTCTTCACAGACGCACAGATGAACTGCTTAGTGATGGCAGTGAGTTTGGCACTACACCAAAACGTAAAAAATCCAAACCTTTACAGACTTACACTTCAATTAACAACTATTATAAAGCAAAATTATCCAACTTTATCAGCATACATACAGTATATGCACATAAAGTCATGTATCTAACCAAAGGGGTTCAAAAGACACTTAATATATTCAGTGATATTATTGATTAGACGGCACTGACACTATCAGATAACACTGAGTGTGTGTGTGTGTGTGTTTAACCTCTCTGTAAGAGTCCTCCAGTTCTTCTATTCGGTCTATGGCTCTGTGTTCAACTGACTTGTTCTTCTCCAGCTCACAGCGTCTCCGGGTCATCAGCGCTTGAGCGTTCACCTCCCCAGCGACAGACACTATCGACGACATCAACCGCATGGCTACACACACACACACACACACACACACCACAGGGCGGATCATACTCCTGTGGCAGCAGGATATAAAACACTTCTTGATTGTGCATCAAAATTACGCAAGGCAGTTTGATGTTAAATTCTGAATTTAATTTTTTTTTTTTTTAGGACTAGGGTTAACCCTTTAACTAAAATTTACAATTAGTCACGTCACCTTTATTTCTAGAGCTTTACACAATAGATTGTTTCAAAGCAGCTTCTCATTAATAAAGCTTTAGAAGTACTGGCGACTATACAGCAGTCAAGGCATAATTCTATTAAGGATATTAATATAGAAACATTGTTCTCAGTATGTTTTATTTATAATGTTTCCCTTTTTAAACCAGTATAACTAGTCATACCAGTATGGTCCCTCACACTGAGTACTGGAGAGAAACTCACTGATGAGCGTGCTGGTGTGTCTGAAGGCGCGGACCTGCGAGTCGGCCAGACCCGTGAGCAGAGCGATGAACGAGGAGAAGAGAAAATCATCGTACAGCAGGCTGTTACGACAGCCACGAACCAGCAGAGACACAAACTCACACACGCCTTCACTGAAGCGCCGCCACTGAGAGCCCACTGACACCAGAGGATAACTGACAGAGTCCTGCAGAGAGAGAGGAGAGAGGTGTGTGTGTGTGTGTGTGTGTGTGTGTGTGT